GGCCATCAGGGTTCTACCCCCTTGCAGAACGCGGAAGACAAGAGCACAGGCTCCTCACAAACGTTTGCCAAGGAACTGGCAATGAGGAGAAAGACCGGACGACGCGTCCCTTGGCGTGATGTGGCGTCGCTCGATGGCACTTTAAGGGACGCGCACCAGGACTCTCAATGTACTTCACGGATCGAGACAGGCTTCAAGGATAGAAGCTTGCAAGAAGCTTCTGCTGCATCGCTCTGAGATTCGAGAAAGAGGCCGAACGGACTTGATCATGCTTGCCACATGGGTGTAGCAACGCTTGCTTGGAAGGGCAAGGCTGGATGAACTCCTTAGACTTTTAGCCACAGACGCAGTGGCGAGCCAGCCATTCCTGGCTAACACAGCGCTCATTGAAAGGAAAGATGGCCTGTGGCAAAGCGTGCATGCGAGGTTCGGTGAGGTGGTCTAGCACCGTCCAAATCACGCTTGTCGTTTCATGTCATCTGGTTCCTGAGCCACGGCCATGCTTTTTTATTGCAAGACGGTTCAGAGGTCAACTCGCTGATCGGAGTCCAGACCCCCTTAACCGGGATCTAGAAACTGTAGTCAACACAGAGGCTTGTCGCAGCATCGTCAGTCGAATCAGGGCAGATCTGGCAGATCAGTAGGCGATGAAAGCCTGCTTGCAGATCTTACTAGGCATGTAGCGTGTTTTTGTTGCAAGGCATGGAGCTCCGTTTCGCGAGCCCATCAGCAACCATGCATTGGAGTCTGCATCGGCAAAGCATCGGCACAGCGGAATCCCGACCCAGTCCTAATCCTGATTCTGAAGACTTGCGGGCTGCCATCTGGCGCACTCCCTCTAACTCTCATCTAGCAATGAGACGCAGAAGACAAAGTTCTCAACCTGGTTCCACTGCATGCTGACTCCTGTGCCACTCCATCCCCAAGACAACCTCCGAGGCATCGAACAAGGATTGGAGTGCCCGCGTGGTGTGCTGGTGTGTGACTGCGATAAGGGGACTTGGGACAATCAGACCGCCCTCAGGAGCGTAAGCACATTCAGCAACGGTCTCAAACAGCCGGGAACCGTTCCGACGTGTCGGATCTACTTCATAGTGCTCTGCCGGCTCTTGAGCATTTCCAAATCTTAGAGGACCAATTCGGTCCTGAGGCTATTGTGAAGGGTCGTGAGACCACTCCAGCGAGAACAGAGAACCAACACTAGCTGAAGCACCTGCTATTGAAGACGCGGGCTTCTGTGACGAATGCAGGCACGGTCTAACATGAAAAAAAGCGTGGCCTTGAACAATCAGCGCCCTTAGGCGCAGAATTACTGCGGTCAGAGGCTGATCGCGGAAGCGAACACTCTCCCAAAGCTACATGTGCTTCGCAGACCTGGTTGTTCGACAGGAGGCCAGACGGCATACTACGACAAGCTAAGCGCTTGCACTCGTTCGACGCGAAGGAAGGATTGTAACTGTTTACCACCGACGGGGCTTGAGTTTCAGGACTTGAAGCATCTTGACTGCCGTGGAAGTTTCAGTGCTGTGCCAGGCGACAGCCCAGGCTTATGCAGCCACCTGTGCCGCGAGCTCGGCAACCTGCGAGAGAGAGGCCATTAGGAAGCTGCAGCAAAGATGCGTCCTGCTGACCTCTAAGCTCAGAGACATTGCCACGGCAGAGCACGGTTGTGCTGCACTTAAAGGATGGTGCAGAAGCTTCAGGGGTGGGGAGTTTAGCGGTATGACATGGTGGCACTAAACGAGCCTTCAAGAAACTTAAAGTTCTTCATGCGTGGACGGAGTGGATAGCAAACACACCGAAAAAACTGAAAATGAACGAAGTCTGGCCACGGCAGGCACAGGGTTGTGGCATGGGTCCATCAAGACACTCTACACGGCCGTCGGCTTCGAGATTCTCAGGCAGCCTGGTCTGCCACGGAACAGGCAGCGCCAACTTGTCAGGCTTGGCTCAAACTTGTTCATCTAACATTCCTCAGGAGCCAAGCAGGTTTGCAGCTGCTCTCACGGCAAGCTTGCAGAAGATACTGCACCACGAGGGCCATGCGTCAGGAACTCTTGAGAACAAGCCCCTGGGCACCATCTGGCAGATCGGCCCCGGCTTCAGCAGCATTGGCCGGGCCGCCTCGCTTGGAGAACAAGGCGCATGTCACGAATTCAAGATATTCGCAAGTCTCTTCATATCTCTGAGCAGTAATAATGGAAGGAAATGAGCGTTCCGGTCTCTAGCAAACGCGTCATGACGCCCCTGCACGCACGAAACCGAAACGTTGCTTGGCCCAGTCAAGCATGTTCTCTCGATTTCGATGCATGGCCAGCTTGCTGTCACAACTTCCTGAGTGAGCGCATGATCAGGATCAACCGCAAGGACGTGCATCGATTGATCTCGCCTGCGTGGACCGTGCGACACTTCGAGAACTACAGCACGAACAAAACGGGTGCGTTGCTCAAGCTGAGCTGCTCGTCCAGTAAATTCTGGGAGGCTGTTTCACGAAAGTCCGTGAGAGCACGAAGACATCAAAACATGCTAGCCGGGAACCGGCCACCTCGGGATCGGTCCATGCGAGCGTCTCATGAACAGCTTTGGCAAACTGGCACCCCGCCATTTCCCAGTTGCGCAAAGGCTCGAGAGCTATCACCTGTCACAGAAGGTCCTCCCGAGAACTCCCCTGCATGCTCAGGATAAGTGGTGTCTTGCGGTAAGGACAGGTGCAGCAACGACTCGAAGCACCAAACAGAAGGAATGAGGGGGCTCTCCATGCGAGTGCACGGCACACAAAGCCGACAGAGAAGCGGCGCTCTCGGAGCCGTAACAGCTTCTGGTTTGAGATGAGGAGCCCATGCTGCATGCAGATTGATGGATTCAACTGATGATAAGAGGTGTTGAATCCAATCTGACAGGGAGGCAGCCGTGCAGCATGAGCCAACAGGGATCTCGAAGTGAGAGATGCATCAGTGGAAACAGCCAACAAGACTTCCACGGAAAGCTGTCGGCTCATGGCGGCTCAGGCCACATCTTGGGAAGGCTGCCTGCATGCTCAAAGAGTGAGAGAGTTTCGCATCAAGCGACCTGAACATCAGAGATTCTAATGCCAGAAGTTATGCCTTGAACATAGGCTGTTCGACTCGAACTTGCCTGAGGCCGCAGCCAGCTCCACTGTATTCCGGATGCTAGCAGCTACCGGCAGCAGGTCCCGAGTCTGGATCATTGGGTGCTGCCACCAGCAGCCACGAAGGACGTCGGCCCAGCAGTTGTGCCAGACTGCGGCCCCAGTCAAAAGGTGTAAGCCGGACGGATGGACCAGCATATCTTGCCAGCAAGATCTCTGAGGTGAGGTGTCACATCACCAGTTGATCTGAAAGGCATCTCTTGGCAGGTGGGCGTCCGGATGCCCCAAGACCGGCGACCAGAGAAAGTGCCAGATGGTCAACATTTACGGAACGGTGGCTTCAACGAGCTTCGGTCATGAGCCCTCTCTCACACTGGAACATCCGACTCCTGCCCAAGCGGTATCAAATCGAACCCGGCAGCCACATGCCGACTTGGGCGATGGCAACCTGCGAACTAAGCACGGATACTTAAAACAATGTTGGTTGTGCCATGGCTGTAATCTAGAAAGAACCTGCTAGCTCGAGGCATACACTGAAATTGCATGTTTAGGCCAATGCTCAGCTCGACAAGTGAAAACAAACTGAGGGCCTTTCAACAGCTTCAACTTCATGTCTCTGATGTGGAAGCGGACGGAATGTTGGCCACAAAACGGATTCGCCCTTTGCCACCCGCGCCAGAACGTTGTTCGATACGTTGCCGGCAGTCTCTTGGTCTCAAGATGAAGGACCTCTTTGCTCAAGGCACCTCCCTGTGATTAAGATGCCTGGAGATGCCGCCACAGACATGGCACGGTTCAGTGGATAGCGTGGTGCAGGGGTGTATAGGAGCCTGAGCTGAAGGCATGGATGATCATGTTCAGAGTCGAGAAACAGTGTGTCATCATTTTGGCCTTGGAATGCGTACATGGGTTGCTTACTGCATGTGCGGACCAAGTCTGTGTGGCATTCCATCTGCCGAACTCGTGCAGAACGCCGACAGCTGTCACGGAAAATCTTCCTGACAGCTCCCTTGTGAGAGAAAACACGTCCTGAAAGGCCAGCAATAGGCACCCAGGCAATTACTCAGAAGCAGTTCTTTCGCCTCAAGGAAACATCTGGCACGCTATACTGGAGGACAGGGAATACCTGAAGCTCAGGAGCTTGCATGGCAGGACGGCGCTAGTGCTGGCAACTCAGGCTTTGTGTCTGTCTTTAGCTCCATGCCCGAACGACTGATGGGACCGGCATCTTATGCGACTCTCCCAGCCAAGATGGCAATGCATGCTTCCGACAGGAAGGACTGCTTCCCACAGTTCATGTGTAAAGAAGCAGAGTTTGGATTGTGCAAGATCATAGGCTCCATCCCTCAGGCTTGGCTGGCACCGGGAAGCCAATGTCAGGCTAGCCCGACTGAACCTGGAGCTGCCGTTACCCTGGAACGGACTACTGCAATGACAAGCTTTATTTGGTTATGTTTTCAATCCAAGCGCACAAACAGAGCATGAAGCACATGGACATGACTGCATCACAACTGCACTCACGGACAGAAACACTCGCACTGCACTGTTTCTTTTTAGAGCGAGGGGTGCAGACTGGTAACGATTCCGGCTCCACATTCGTGGCCGATGTTCAGAAAATGGCAAAGCTGAGAGTATCCTGCATCGAGATTTCCGGCACGTTCCCGCAAGTGAAAACATCCTGCAAGTGAAAGGCAGATGATGCCACTCCAGAAGGGCTTTTCTTTTCTTTCGGACTCCACAACGGTGCGTCGTGTGAGAAGGACTTCACTCCTCTACAGAAGAGCGGCCACTCAGGGTGGCAAGACTAGAGCGCAGTTGGTAGCACTCTCCGGTCCACAAGCGAAGAACATGTGTTTACATGTTGCCCCTAAAGAAAGCCCCGTGCACACTGCTAATGCGAGCGAGCTAAGAAAACGGCATAAACGTCCCTCGAAACCCTACCGAAGTCTTTAAGCAAAACAGCTCTCGCATTATCGTCGCAGTAATGCAGCTTCCCTGTGATCGCATTGTACAAAAGAGCTCTGTAGTGCCCAGACGTCACACTCTCTCCTAGGTGCACGGCAAAAGCGCAGACACGGTAGCGAACATGCTTAACTTCCAAACCTTCGGTGAACTCAGGAAGCATCAGGTCTGTGCACCAGTCCATGGCGGTTCTCACTTTGTTGACTGGTCCTGACTCGCAGCGCTGTTGAAATCTGTCAAGCCGTAGTGCAAGCCATTGGGGTGCCGACTCCAGAGCGTACGGAAAAGCTTGACGATGCCATGCATCGACCATTGCCTGCAGCTGCCATCGACCAGAGGTCGGAACATCCAGCTGAATCATCTGCTCGCACGCGCCAATGTCATGATTTTGCAGCCGTACGGCCTCCAAAACTCGAGCATTCCATGTCCCATGGAATGGCGAAACCCCGAACCTGCACATCAGATGATTGAAGAATTCACATATATCATGTTGTCGCCCTCCATGTGTCCAACCGCGCATAATGGCACTCCAAGGTAAGAGTTGCATGACTTGGAAGGCCTTGCGCTGCACCAAAATGGTGCGCCAGGCTGTTTGCCCCATGCCCAAACTATTCACCTGAAGATCAGTACATGCTAACATCCAAGTGAAAATGTGCACCAAAGCATTGACATAGCACACGTTATTTGGGTTCTGCAAACGTAGGGTCTGCGCGATTTGTAGAGTAGCCCCTCCAGCTGTTTGGCCAATCCATGTCGACGCTTGCGCTCCTGACGCAGCCTGCTGCGCAAGAGCTTGAGGACCATGTTGTCGCAGAGCTGGGTCAGGTTGCGATGTAGCCTCTCGCCCGCATTGCGAAGGGATACTTGAATCGTGAAGCAGACTTCCTTGTTGTCCTCGGCTTTGTCCATGTCTTCGTGAAGTGTGTGCGTCGCATGAAACTTGTGTAGAATTCCCGGTTCCTTGATGTCCGCTAGCACCTCGATGAGGAGACTTTCCACGGCCGTGGTCGGCATAGGTTCCCGTGTCGTGGCTACGAGCTCCTTCTGTGTTGGGTCCCAGGTTTTGTAATTCCACTCCCCCTGATCCGTACACCATCCCGCTTGAATCGCATCCGTCTTTACACTGGTGTCCTCCCCAATCTTTCGAAGACGAGCTTGCAGTTCGGTCACAATGCACTCCAGCATGAGCACGTTCAGAGGTTGCGTGATCCTTTGGGGGTTGGTCTCTTTCAGCTTCTTCCACTCCGAGCTGATGCCGAACATCATGGGGAGTACTCCCCCCTGCTCCGTGCTCACGAACCAAGTAAACCCGCAGTCCTGAAGCAGCAGTTGGTGTTCGTCCGCCAATTTCAGCGTCAGTTTGGCCGCTGCTTCCACGAGCTTGGTGATGTCGCGTTCCTGGCTCCCCTGCTCCGGTCGTCCATTTCGCTCCTGATGCTTGCTTTTGCGCGGTGGTCGGCGTCCTTGCTGCTCCTCCGTCCTGGGCCGCTTGCTCGTCTGCAGCGGCGCGTGTGTTGCCGTTGTGGCCCTGTTCGCCCCGCTCTGCTCTTGTTGGCTTCCCACCGGTAGCAAGTGCTTGAAGAAGTTCACCTCCGCCGCGTTCGCCATCCGCCGTCACCAAGGATATAAGCAGCGATTGAAACAGGACTGGGCAAGCAATCACGTGTGATTTAGGGTCCTTGGAAACTGATCCACACAGGCCACATGGGACGGTGATGTCAGCAAGTTGGGATTTACAGAGGGTTTCAATCCGATGCTTATGTTTTGTCCAGACATCTTTGTGAGATTTGGCCAAATGCATCTTGACCGCTCTGTTTGAAACACACCAGGTCCCACATAAACAGCACCACTGAGCAAGCTTGGGCCTCCAGGTAGTATTCGCGGCGAGCTTTCGCCAACCATGCTCACGTACAACAGCAATGACTTCAGGCTGCAGAATGAGAGGTTGATCACTGGAAGGCGGTTCAGGTGATTGTTTTGACTGCTCGATCTCTGGCTCCAACCGCTGAGCCTCGCTTTCATCCGGCTGCTTGGCCTGTGAGGCTTCAGGTGTGTCGATCCCGATGGGGGTAGGACAGGCTCCATGCTCGATATGCTTTTGCAATCTAGCCCAGGAGCTCATAAGCGCCTGACAACCAGAGCATCGCGGCATACCTCCTGTGGAATGTACCAGACGGTTGAAGGTGACTGGTGCAGCCTTGTGCTTTTGGGAAATATGTGAGCCTAACACCGTTTGATTTGCACACTCCAGTCCACAATGCGGACACGTAAGCACACTTCTGCCCGCCTTCTGCTCCAGTTGTAGCTGAGCGCTTAGCTCATCCACACGTTGCTGCCGCCATCTTCCGATAGTAGCTTGCGCCTTGATGGGAATGGGATTGTCATGGTCTGCATTTGCCTGCCATCGACGCAGCTGTCCCTGCATGTTGTGGAGGATGTGGGCCCCCGGCTCGCAAACCCCCAGCCGATCAAGTAATTCCTGATTGCTGACGTGCGTTATGTGGGTTGGCATACGCGCTATGGCGCGTAGTTGCTTCTGTACCAAGACCCGAACCTTTTGCAAGCCATTGTTCGAGATACCGCTGGAGTCCAAAGCATAATACAGCCCTGACGCGACGCATGCAGACCACAAACGAACTCGCGAAGTGAGAGAAAGATTGCTGCGACTGGTAAGAATGCGGCGTAGTCGTCCATAGGTAGCCCTTGCTGCCGTCACCCTGTGGTGCAAGGTAGCATCTTCATAGGCTTCATATGATAGCTGCGCTCCCAGGTACTTGGCCTGTTTGCACACTGGTAAGAATCGCTGCATCCATAACGCTGAGACTCTCAGTTGCCGACCATCCCGTCGTGTTTCGGTGACTTCCTGAAGCATCCGTTTTGCCCGACTGCCCGCTAACCGTAGCAGGACCTGGGTTTTGTCATCGTTGATGTTCAAGCCGGCTTGGGCCAGGACCTCCAGCAACTTCCCCACTCGCTCAATGGCCTCCCGAAAACCTTGGGGCGACGTAAACTCTTGGTGAATCAGAGTGTCATCTGCAAAGTAATCCAAGATCTGGTCCGCCTCGTCTCCGAAGGCGCTTCGAAGCTGGGAATGTAGCCGTGCCACGACCATGATATATAGCAATGGGGAGAGGACACATCCTTGTCGTACTCCTCGGCCTACGTCCACTGTTAGGTTGCCACCCTCTCCTTTCAGATGATACTGCGCGCCTGTGATCCATAGAAGAACTAGCTGTCGAAGCTCTGGAGGTATCTGTGCTGCCTGCATAGCCAGGTTTATTTCAGCATGGGGAACCGAGTCGAACGCTTTGGCTATGTCTAAGGCTACTGCCAGTCCGCCCACCAGCTCCTGTCGTTGATGCCCCGCTCGTTTGTGATTTATGTTCTGGGTCTGTGACTGACATAAGGCTCGAACTGCAGAGCAATGCCCAAAAGCACGAGCCATAGCATCTGAAGCCTCGCGGCCGCGCAGATAACCCCACTGCGGTGTATAAGCCATGTACTCGGTTGCCCAGGGCTGGACTTTCTCACGCAAAGCTCGTAGCAGTGCCTTCCCCACGGGATGGGAGAGACCGATTGGTCTCATATCAGCAGGGCCTCGACAAACCTTGCCAGGTTTGGTCAACATGACCAGCCAAGCATCCTTGAAAGGTTGTGGGATATAGGGCACACGACCGTTCCACCACGAGGCCAGGAATTCCGCATAGATGGGTGCCAGCCATGCTGACGCGTGTTTGTACATGGAATTCAAGGCCAAGTGTTTGGGCCCTGCCTTGTTCACGGGGATGGCCTGAAGACCGTCATATATATCCTGAGTAGTCAGAATCTGCCCTACACCCGCTAGCAACATGAGAGGATCGACACAAGGTTCGCCCACATACAAGCACCGGAGGTAGCTAGCTGTCTTCGTGGCCTCCTGTCTAGCATCCAGCAGGACGCCCGCATCATCTCGCATCTGCGGCCTAGCCTGAGTGCGCTTCGGCGCCAATCGATCAACTAGCCGATAAATGCCATGGATATTCCGCTTCCGTTCTTGATATTGGGCATCGTTGAGGATGCTCAGGAGCCGCTGGCGTCTAAGTCGCCGACATGGAGTCCTTGTCGATTTGATGAGCTTACTGAACTGCTGCATGTGTCTCCACGCCTGAAAAACATCGCGAAGTCCGCAGCCGCGTCGTGCCCTGGCTTGCCGTAGATGTGCCCAGGCCTGCTTGAGGACTGTGCGCAGATCGAGGTTTTGCCATGGCCGTTGGTGTTGTACTGGCACATGCTGGACCTGCGTAGCAATTTGATTTTGGACCTCAATGATGGCTTGGTCCACTGCTTCTACACTGTCAAAGGGGGACACGAGGGCTTGCTGCAGGTAATGTTCGACATGAGCCACGTGATCTTTGATATGACGTTGTAGTTCAGGCCTGCTGGGACCGCGTGGTTGGCGAGGTGCACTGTCGTAGCGCCAAATGCGCCATCTCCTGGGGACATGCGCCAGCAAAGGAACATGATAGCCCTCACCGCGGGCTGCCAACAACGGGAATTTGTGAAGTCCATGCGCGCGCTTGCTGAGGCCCTGGGCCTGGTTTGAGCGCATGAAGAGGTAGTCGATCTGGGAGCGGGAGCCTGAGCCACAATAAGTGTACTGTTTGGCATCGTGAAAGGTGTTGGCTGCAATCAGTCCATGTAATCGGAGAATGTCAAGGAGTTCATGTTCATCTCTCTTGTCTCGATAAGTTGTGTTGCTGACTGCTGTGCCGGTCACCCCTTTGCAATGCGGCAACTGTGTGTTGAAATCACCGCAAACCAACACTTGGTTTCGCGCTGGGATCCCGTCCAAGCACGCGTTGAGCGCGTTCCAGACTGTCTTTCGCTGAGCTGTTACGTCTGCCACGGCTCCATGTGACCAGACCCGCTGATAAATGTTTATGATGTCAATACCGCCGTCCGGGTCGTAGATCCGGGTGTGTTGGATCCTGCCATTTGCCATGGTACCGGACCGAATTTGTCCCTTGTGAGCCAGCCCATTGTGGATCAGCGTCATAAGTCCACCTGAGCGGCCTTGGCCGTGATGGATGACGTGATAATGTCCATTGTTCCAGAATTGCTCCATGTTCCATCTCGTTTCCTGTATACAACAAAGCTGCACTGCATGATCAGCTAACCAGTTCTGCAGGATGTCCCAGTTGTTAGCTGCTAGGCCGCCTGAGTTCCAGGAAAGAAGCTTGCAATGCCTAGTGCCGCTAGGGTTGCGTGCTCCTTGACTATGCTTGGGAGGTTCCGGCACCTCAGTTGAGGGAACGTACTGTCCACAAAGGGCGGCTGCTGAGAGCCATCGGCCTTTGTACCAAGTGTGTCCTGTCTGTGATGACACGGCTCTTTTGCATGCTCGTTTGTAGGCACGCTTGACCGTATATGAATGTCCTTGGGCCACTGGCTTCACCCTCGGAAGCTCGGAAAAATCACTGTGATGGTTTCGGGCGGGCTGTGGTTCCCGCCTACCCTCGCCTCTGCGCTCAGGAAAGATGTCGTCGTCGTAAGGATGGTCCTGTTGCGCCGCCGGACTTGGGACCGGCCCTGGCTGGCGTATTGTCGTCTGTAAAAGAGCTGCTCGAAAACCGGAATAAGAATCATCATGAAAAGAAGCATGAAAATCGCAACCATGCCCATGCCAAAATCCATGCAGTTCATCATGTGAGTCAAGGTGTTGCTGTTCATCGAATAAGCCCCAAAAATGACTGTATTCACTATGCGCTCCGGCAAGTGCAGTATCAGGCTCAGCTCGCTGCTGAGCGAGGCCAGCATTCTCGGGCCAAGTCGGCCCTGTGTTCCACTTGATCTGCTGACTCTCATGCATCTGTCGGGTGCGGCAGAGTGTCTTACACCATATGGAGTCTGGGACTGCGCAGTCGTTCCAGCCAATCAAAAGCGCCTTGAAAACGCAATGAAAAACTGTGCTCACCATGCGCCGCCCCGAGCCCCCTACAGACTTCAAACTCATTTCGAGCCAGAGAGGCTTACTCCAGAAGGGCGGGTGGGCGGGACAAAAATTTTTTCTCACGCCTGCAAGCAAAACTGCGAGCACCAAGACAAGCATGGTAAGGCAATCGTGAGAAAATCAAAAGTCATGCGACATACTCCAGCAAGGCATGAAAGAAAAAGTGCGCATGAAAAAATTGTAAACAATTTTTCCAAACATGAAAACAATCAAATAAGAAAACATCCCCCTTCGGGAGAGTTTGTTCTTATTTGGTTATGTTTTCAATCCAAGCGCACAAACAGAGCATGAAGCACATGGACATGACTGCATCACAACTGCACTCACGGACAGAAACACTCGCACTGCACTGTTTCTTTTTAGAGCGAGGGGTGCAGACTGGTAACGATTCCGGCTCCACATTCGTGGCCGATGTTCAGAAAATGGCAAAGCTGAGAGTATCCTGCATCGGGATTTCCGGCACGTTCCCGCAAGTGAAAACATCCTGCAAGTGAAAGGCAGATGATGCCACTCCCCATTCAAGATCAGATGCCGCTAGAACAACAGCTCTTCGCCTGGCATCCAACGGACTCTGAAACTAGTGGGGAGCTTGTCAAGCACAAAGCGTGAAGGATCGTCGGCGGGGTTCGCAGACGACTCCACTCTCTCGAACCATACACTGATTCCTTTCTCATCCTCAAGCATGCTGAGCTTGTTGAGCTGCGATGCCACCACCGGGGATTCGGAAGCACACCTGATGAGAGCCGCGAGGGCGGCTTCATTGTCGCAATAGCAAATGAGATTGCAGTCATTCAAGGAATTGCAAAGTTGCACCACACCCTGCACTGCAGCACAAGCCTCCAACTCGTAGATCAGACCTTTCTTGCCTTCCTTGTTAATGGCCTCTAAAACGTCCGTGTCGACAGACTCAGAGTACCACCTAAGAAGCAAACCCCCATCACTATAAAGGATGCCCCCTAGACCTGCTGGCACATCCGCCTCATAGGAAGCGTCCGTGAACAAGTGATAGGTGGGACGATCACAGGCCCTGATCATCCTTGCTTCCCCGTGCAAAACTCGATCTTTCAAGAAAAGCAGGGCCTCGGCCAAGGAGTCGTCAAGAGCCACAAAACCTGAAAGCTTCATTGCCTTTGATATAGCTCGCATGCGTTGGGCCGCGCCCCGACCAAACACCTGCGACTCGGCAAACTGAAGACGGCCCCGCAGGCACTCAAGCTCTTTGGCATGCGCTCCACCTTGCTGCACGATGGATTCGATGGTGGACACAAGCTCGCGCTTCCTGGCCTCTGTGTTTTGCACCCTAAGCAGACCCAAGTGGATCTCATCCAAGCTAAATTCTACGCCTAAGGCTTTTGCCACACTTTTGAACCCGGCGTCCTTTTCATCGGACGTTTCCCAGCCGATCAAGGCAAAGTACGACCGTAACACAAGATCAAGGTGACCCTTTTCCTCGGGTGAGGCCACTACCACATAATCGTCAAAGAAGGCGGACCAGTGGATGTGGAGCAGGGCTTGTCCAACTGCCCAGATCGCCCCTGATGCACGACAAAAGCCTTGTACAGAGGGCTTTGCGCCGAAAGGTAAGACCTGGCTCTGGTAGAGCTCAGGCTCACCCGTATTCGGGTTAAGCACACATATATAAGCATCCCCCAAGGCACGCTCCGATAAAGGAAGTTGCTTATAGGCTTTTCGTAGATCTATTGTACGAAGGAGCAAGCGCGCGTCCCTCCCGGACTTCCGTAGCGACCTGCACCGCTTCAAGATCCCGGCAACAATGATGTTCACTGAATGCGGGTCGATGGTTTCCGCACACGTGCACGACAAGTTAGCCAGGCTTTCTGTGAAGTCGTCGATGGGACGGATCTTAGCCGCCACACCGGTGGCCGTCGTCGTCACACCTTGCCTGACGCCAAAACGGCGTGTAACGATGGCAGTCTCTGGCACATCGGCGAGAGTGAAGGGGCCGGTCAGCCACCCTTTATCCCGCTCCTCCAAGGTAAGGCGATACACTTCCGAAGTGATTTCAGGATCCCTGCAAGTGCGGGTAGCCTCCCAAATCGCACGCTGATTCGCCGGGGTGGCGATTCTTACGTCCTCGATGCTGAGAGATGCCACTGTGGTTTTCTTCGGCAGGACGGACGAGGAAGGGATCTCGCCAAGCAGGTCGAAACCGTTATGTATATCTCGTACCAAGTTCACATCAGCATGTCCGGCAGCCTCGACCATTTCCCCGAAGAGTTTCATGGGTTTTCCAGCTAGAATCTGCTTGCAATGCGCGGGTCCATCAAAACTCTCATCAAGATCTTTCTTCCTAAGCATCCACTTGCGAAGTTCGGCAGTGCGTTCCCTCGCCACACTGACCGAGCTGTGCTCACACAAGCGATCGATACAGGCTGGCACGCCTTGATCCAAGGAGCGCGGGTGTTTCGCTTTGCAGGCCTGCTCAACGAACTCCGAAGGCGTCCATGGTATGCCAAAAAGCAGTTCAAGCTCAGACCTGGCACTAGGTATCGCACTGGCTGCATTTGGGGGCAAGGTTGCCGGTTGGCATTGGGGGGCTAGGGAGTCGGGACTACCTGAAACCACACCCTCAGCAACCGCAGGCAAAGCAGGTGCCGGCTGGCACAAGGAAGCAGAGGATTCAGGATTACCTAAACCCGCACCTATAGCTGGCTCCGAGGCAGGCGCCAGACCCCGTGGAACCAAAGGGCTGGCTCGGAGGCATTTGGAACCTGGCGGCAAAGATGCAAGAAAAGGTTGGCAGAAGACAGTATTGGGAACCGCCCACGGTGACACCAGCTTGGTCTTTGAGGTGCACGGCAGCTGGTCGGCCGGGCCTGCCAACTTTACTGTGCGAGCAAACTCAGGAACCAGTGGAGGGATCCTGCGACCCGAGGGTTGTGTCGCTGTAGCAACACGGGCGCCCATGGAGAGCGACAGGGAAGCATTTGCAAGAGAGGACGCCGGGGCAAGCGCACCGCACGCAAGCAGCTGATCCACAAATGCTTGGGCAAAGGTCTTGCACAATAGAGGCGGCAGGCCTAGGCGATTTTGTGCAGGGGATCGCCACGGTTCATGATCATGGCCGCCGTCACAAGTCACACCAAGCTTTTGCAGGTAGGGCACCGTGTGCAAAAGGCGAGTGGCCTTCCTGCGGTAGGAGCCGAACATGCATTGGTGCAGGGAGGTGGAGAGGAAAGGTGTGGACTGACAGGAGCGAAGTGACGCTGAAAGCCACATGATGGATCGACTCGGGTGAGCAATGGAGCAAAATACTCCATGGCTCCAACAGAAATGCCAGACCTCGGCACACATGGCGAAAAGTGTGTTGGCCCCCTGGACCAATTCAAGATCAGTACCTTGCAAACCTGGCAGGCCCTCAGGGTGCGCGGCATTGCGGAAACCACCTGAGCGAGGGCCCTGCAGGGAGGCGCAACTGGTGGTTACAGGTGGAGACAAGTGGCACGCAACAACATTAGGCTGTTTGAGGAGATCATGCAGAATGGCCCGAGATCCTGGCTTCGTGAGGTCCAGTGAGACAACAGGACATTTGCAACCTCGTTGCGCGTGACGGTCTAGACCGACACTTAGCTTCATGCCTAGCTGCCTGATGGATGCACAGAGGCCCCCCGTACCACAGAAAACATCAAGAAACATGAGATTATCAAGAGGCACCCCCTTGACCTTGGCAGACACCTTAGAAAGCAATGGCTCAAGGGCTCCGGCAGGCGGTGGAACATACGCCAACGGCGGGCAGGCCGTGGACGCTGAAACCGAAGGCCTAAACCCAAGGGATTTAAGGTGCTCAAAGTCAAGGCTGGGTAACTGAGTTGCATCCCCGCCCGAGAACAAAATGAGGACTAGCCTGTCGCCCGTCCAAGGCATCGTGCAATGCAAGCGCTTTCGTGCATAGAAACGCACTGGGGCTGCTGCAACGTCATACAATTCTCCAGGGACCAAGGACCCATTGACAGGCAGCATGTGGCTGCCGGACTCGGATTGGGCCCAGATGTGTCCGCCTGAGAAATTGGTGACAGCCAACACGAGATTGTCAGCATCATCATTGTTCACGTCGCGGTGAACTTCAGTCTTTACGTTGAGGTTCAAAGAAATCGAGCAAAATGTAAAATCTGAAATCTTGGACCCGGCTTGCTGCATGGCCCAAGTGATGGCCAAGCTGACTGATTGGGGAAACGAACGACAGGTGTTCGTGAGGCCAACGACACCCCCATGCCGGAAAACACCTGCTACAAAGGATCTGCCAGAACCCGAACCAAATCGCTCATCCAACCTAGCAGGTAACAAATTGAAAAGGCGCTCAACACAAGCTGCTGTCACAGGTTCACCAGACGACAGCACGTCTTGCGCAAATTGCTCTGCGGGATGCAAAGAGGCATGCACTCGCCGCTCAGCGGGCAAGGGAAAAACTCGCTCATCAATCACAACTTTCGGAATTCGATCAAGCACTGATGAGGCTGGCTTGGGACGTTCCAACGGACCAACCGGGTCGATCTGTGCCAACATGCAATCATGATTTGCCGCATGGGACGAGACCGAAGGGCTCATCGCTTCATCAACAAGAGAATCGGCCTCGGCAGCGGCAGCCTCCCGTCACTCGTGGACTTTGTAAGTCGGGCATTGAAGAAGGGAGTGGGGCTGCTCGCAGAACATACAAATGTGCAGGCCCCGTTTGCAGCTTTCACCGCATTTCGCAAACTTACATCCAGTCTGCAAATTAAAATTCCAACACAAGCGTTTCTTCGTCTTGCTACAGTTGTGCTTCAAGCGAGAGTCAGACAACGCCTCAGGACATTTCCCTTTGCCAGCACCTTTGGTGGGACGGTGGGGCAACTTCGGCTTGCCGTCGGCATCGCGTTTGGTGCCCTTGTCGCCTTTTCCATCGCCTTTCCACTTGGCCCCAGGAAGCGGGGCCAAATGCATCATGATTTTTGGATCATACTGAAGCTTATCCAGAGCAGTATCCATCGGAAGGTTTCCTGCATCGTCCTTTTTTAACGTGGTCATGAGCTCACTCATGCGAACCCAAGCCGCCTTGTCGCACCTGAGCAGCTGCTCCATCGAAACCTTGGCGTAATAAGGAGGCGGCTGTTCCGACAGCTTGGAAAGCAGATGCCTGTGCCACATGTCCATGTTGGCAAAGGTGCAGAGATGCAAAAGATCACAGGACAATGCTCTGCGACACAGGGCTTCAGAGAGCTGCAATTCATTCTGAATGCCACACTTGTCCTTGTGAGCTTTGTCGCGGATGCTCATGCGCGAGCCCTCATCTAAGATCAACTCCTTCCCCGGCTTCTCACGATTTACCTCCATGGCCCTGGTCAGGAACCTGTGAGGCTCCAGGTAGGAGAGGCAATCCTGATCAACGACCTGGGCAACATAAGCGTAATTGCTGAAGGCGTTTTCCAAAGGACCTGTCAAGCTGAGACCGATGAGTCTTTTACGCTGCTCGGCCAGGCGATTTGCTCGCTCTGCAGGGGCCAGCTCCGCCTTCCGGTCACCTTCACCCTCGATCGAGCTCTTGAGTTGGGCAATGGATAAGGTTTGAGCTTCAAACATGAGGCGCCGCAGCGCCGACAGTGCACGCAGTGGCACAGTCGTAGGATCCGTGGGATCAAGGATGGACCTGAGCTCAGCTTCCTGCGGCACTTCTCCCGGGGTCGAAACACTGAATGCAAGGAGCGACAAAGAAGTCAGCCCCTTTCGCACAAGCACATCGAGCTCAGCTTGCGCCAATCCGCATTCTTTGGCCCTCTCCTCAAAAGCCGCTTGACTCTTCAAGATGGAAGCCATGACACAAAAACGGATCCTACACGCACAGACCTAACAAAAGCCTAGTGTGCATGCCATAACATCGAAACACATCCGGACTCCCGCAAGGTAGTGACCAACATGCCATGACACATGATCCCGCAAGAAGTCTGAGCCGTCCAGCATGTAATCAACAAAGACAGTCCCGCATGCATTCAGCAAACACTCACTGCAGTCAATCTAAGAACTCGGGGCCTCTAGGCTCGGGGTCTGACTCCTGCAACACACCGAGCAGACTTTTACGAGGACCTCGGAATCTTCTTCAAGCGCTCGTCAAGACAGTGCACCAGGGACCCTAAATCCCTGATGGGCTTTCCCTTCCAGCATTGCTTGCAGCGCCAATGCGCTGCTTGAACCGCCGACGTGAACGGCTTGTGGTTCGCCGTGATGTCACGACCACATATGAAACGCTCCGTGGAGCTTCCCGCAGGCTTGAGATGAAGAGTCCTCGTGCTCTTCTGCTGATAGACCGGGCACCGATCATGGTACCTCGGCCCCACTTGGGGATCCGCCTGACTCGCGGTCAGAACTTCATCTATCTCGCTGTCAGACGAGCCTGAATCTGAACTAGACTCGCTAGACGAAGAGGATCCTGACACATCACCTTGGGGACCATCGTCTTCAAGGGCAGCATCGGGGTCCTCCCAGGCAGCTCGTTCCGCGCTATGAATCAAGGAGTCCACAGCACGACCAAAAGGAGTGTCGTCGTCGCTGGCATCCTTTTGATCGCCGAAAGCTGGCTCGGAGGCAGGAGCACTCACACTACGAACAGCTTCCGATTCGCATGCTGAGCCAGGGCTGACTGCCGGCCGATACCAGTTTCTTTCAGCCTCAGTCTCAAACACACTGTCACCAGGTAACTCCTCGCCCGTTTCAGCAGCGCCAAGGACCTTTGCATAAAGCCCCGACCGTGTCATATCCGGGAGGTACCGGCCACACCGAATGTCACAGTACATTTGACACAACTCCCGCAACGGTCCAGCCTGAATGTCCCTGGAGTATGTAACGACCGATCGTCGATCCTTCAAGGAATGATGTCCCAAGATGGTGCAAGTGTCCTTGGACATGTCCGTCTTGCTTGCCCACGAAAGGGCAGTATGCTTGCACGAGTGACCTTTGAGGTCAACCCCCATGCTCGCATCCCCGGACTTAAGGATCGAAGAAATCCAGGACACAAACCTGCCCGTCGGAATCCGACGACCGCTCCAAGACCCATTGAGCATAGGCGACTGCAGCAGAGGCAGGCTGCAGGCTCCAGTGGCGACTGGATGGCCCGACAAGCGCCACACCTCAACCCAAGCTTTAGCCCAAAGACCTTGACCCACACCCCGCTCTGGGGCCACTAGGCTCAACTCGAGCCCCAACGGGTTGCCTGTCGATGCACACTTGTGTGACGTTGAGATGCACTCAAGGAAACCTTCACCGTCGGCAAAATCGATGGTCACCATCTTGACTGCCCTCACATCCCCTACACGGGCTCTCGAGTGAATACAAAACAAGCAAGCACCTGCAGCATATCTGTCCCTTGCATCACGGCAGCTGTCCTGGACGAAAGCTTCAAGATATGCCACCTCGCGAACCTGAAAAGGCCTGGCTTGCACACGAGGCGGACGGTTGAACCGCACCTTGCGAAGGCGCCCTTGCACAAGCGGGTGCTTGTGAGGATCACCAATTGCTTCCACACCCAAGATGAATCTAGCGAAGTTACAAGCTTCGATGCAAGATCCAAACACAGAATGCGAGGCACCGCTCTGCAGCAAATGCTGGGTGTATTCGATCAGCACCTGAGAGTCGATCGGAAAAGCTGACATGCCCTGGTCCGAGCACCATCCCACCATGCGAGCAAGACTGGACAATCGCTTCTTCAAAGTCGAGAGGGCCTTGCCACCCAGGGCTTCGGCAACAAGACCGACCCGATCTGCTTCGCACTTGTCCTTCAACAGTCTGCCAAGGGAAGAGCATTCGTATGCGTGGCTCAAGAGGACATCGTACCTCGCTGCAAGCAACTGCAACTGTTGCTCTTCGGTTTCTTGGCTGTGAAGCATGCTCTTGGGGGCGAGCCTTGGCGGCTGCCTCCTCGAAAGAAGCGGAATCCAGGGGCTCCGTCTGCAGAGGAGCTGGCACACTGCACTGGGAGAGTGAACTCAGGTCGCTCTGCGAAAACACTGCTCTCATCGCCCCGCGTTCCCAGGGCATCTTGAGGGAATGCTTGGACACATGTTTGTCTGCAGCAAGCAACAGCCTGTCGAGCGGTCGCGCCATACCCCAGACTATGCGAGCGCTCACCTACGTTGGTAAATCCGACTCAGGCGGCCACGAGCTCGGTGCACGAGCTCAGCAATCGTACAGAAAATGGTAGCCACAGCTCTGCAACTAGCCCTCAAAGGAAACAGTCGATCCACACCAATGCCAAGCAAAATGTGGGCTCCGGCTGAGGCTGCTCCTAGGAACTGAGGAATACCCAAGCGCGCTGGCGGGTCAGGGCGCAAAATAGCAGACTGCCAGCCTCGAAGTGTAAGACGCTCCCAGAGCCAGAGGAGCAAAAGCCTCCGCAAGGCAGGAGGCGGGCGCTGCAGCCGCCGGTCCATGCAAGGCCCGGCTTTCCGTAAGGAGCCCAGAACCTGTTACACGAGCGTACAGGCCTTTAGAGGGCCCAAGACAAAAATTTTCTCACGCCTGCAAGCAAAACTGCGAGCACCAAGACAAGCATGGTAAGGCAATCGTGAGAAAATCAAAAGTCATGCGACATACTCCAGCAAGGCATGAAAGAAAAAGTGCGCATGAAAAAATTGTAAACAATTTTTCCAAACATGAAAACAATCAAATAAGAAAACATCCCCCTTCGGGAGAGTTTGTTCTTCAACAAAGGAAGCTCCCTCGTCAAGAATCGTCTGCATTTGTAGACCGCAAGCAGTAAGGATAAGTGTGAGCTGCTGCAGCCTCCCTCCGCAGAAACCTAATTTGAAACTCAGTAAGGTCCATGCTGCCCTGCGCCTTGTTTCTTGGCGCGCTGCCATGGGCTGGGGACATCTGACGCTCTTCGCTGAGCTGCTGTCTCAGGCATGCCTCATGTCGGTGCTCTTCTTCCTGTGCCGCTGCGAAAGCTGTCAGGCGAAGAGCACCTCAGCTCTCGGGGTGCGTGCAAGCCAACCATTGGGACAACTGACAAAAGCACCTGCAGCTTCCGCGACACCCAAACGGCCCAAACGGACTCATGCAAGACAACGGTGGAAACAAAAGACAGGTCCTTAACTACGGAAGGTCCACAACTCCAGATTGCAGGGGCATGCAGTGAGTGCGCTCTTTGACAATGACGACCTCTGGCGGAATCACGCACTGGGACTGCTGATTAGCCCAGCCCACCTACACCGGCTTTGACGCAAGGCCGAGCAGTGGCAGGACAGAGGCCCTTACCCACGAATAGTCCACGGCTCCGCCAAGGGCACGCGATTAGCATGCGCTTCCGCAAAGAACTGCGGAAGCAGGTAGGGTCATGCAAGCATGTCAGACCGCAAGCTTGTGCGACACTCCAAGTCAACCTGAACACACACCTTCTCATGGGAGCGAAAGTTTCCGGGAGAGGAAGGAACAAGGCTTCACATAGTGCAAGGAAGCAGAGTCTGGATTGGGCAAGATTGCAGGTGGCTCGAGCCCTCAAGCTTTGGCTGGTGCCCGGAAGCCAAGCTGAGGTTGGCTGGACCTGCAACATCCGTGAGACTAGAAGGAAGCTGCACCCC